TTATTGCGCGCTCGGCTCCAGAAGCGTCTTGTTCTTGTTCCCTCTTCGCCAGGCTCGAAAGTTCCCAGCCGCGCCCGTGTAAATTGCACGCGGCAGCCAAGTAGCGCACTGAGAACGACCAATCGGTCATGCCTGTGACTCCCGTGACTCGATTGACTGATGAAGAGAATTTTACACACTCCTAGGAACGATTTAATCGTTGTACAAACAAACATGGAGAATATTACTTAGATTATTATAGTTTGTCAGCTTGAAATTTAGACAATTCAAATATTTAATGGAGAAATGAAGGCTTTCACAGTAGGATTGTATCAGTTTTTTTTAAACGTTACTTGTTGGTATTTTTGAGAGCATTTACGTATTTACAATTATTCTACTTAGTAGGAAAACTAACGAATCCAATAGAAATAAACAGAAGGTTAAACATAGTTACTCGCAACGCCTTGGTATCTATTTCAAGAAGCGCCTCTCAGTTAAAGTTGTATCTAAAGCGCGAGCAGTAGCCGTGCCATTTAAGTGTTAATATCGTTGATTCTAACTTAATGAGTCACGATGAAATTTAGTCGTGGAAGAAACCGTCGGTAGGTAGAGGAACCTTAGCAATTTCGAAAACGACATTAGCGAAACGCATCGGGGGGGGGGGGGGTTCTTCTTCTCTCGTCGCGTCTTTGAAATTAGTAGAAACTCGTTCACTTTGAGGCCCGTTGGCCTGAATTTCCACGAGCCGTTCACGACGTTGCTACGTACCCGGGAAAATGCTCTGACGCGCGTCCGAGAATTTAATATCAAACTTTGTGTGTGTACGTACTATCGCATCGGCTGAGAAATTTACTCTCGCGCGCACACGGGAGTGCGCTCATGCGTGCCAACACTCGACACTTGACAATTCTCGAATGGCATCTAACAAGTAAAAGAGAGTGCGTACTTAGATAGCAATCTAGAATGAGATTCGAGATGGAAGGTTCTAACCTTCGATGAGACCTGTTAAATGTATATTACAGCGAGTCTGTGTTAAAACTGGAGAAAACAGAACTATGTAATAAATAGAAACAATCCTATAAAAAATATTATAATTTATTTTATTCTATGCATTTCGATTATATTAATTCATTATTAATTAAAACGCAGTGTGAAGAATATTAATATTATTCTTTTGAATCTTTTTAATATGAAGTAAAGTAGACGCATTAAATAAACCGCATTTTTTTCATTTATTTACCTCCTGTAGGCTGGATATGTAATTAATGACCAGAGAAATAGCGGAGGATTTTGAGTTCTAAACCCATTCAGGTGATAGAGCAGATTGAAACGAGAAAAATAGATCTTGGTTGGAAAGATAGGTTGGCCTTATGTCTAAATCCGTTCCCGGGATATAGGCGTCCAAAGTTTCACCGTTTAAATGCCACACGCACGAAAATCCCCGCGCTCTACTTTCGTTTCTGAAATGAAAGGGTTATTTCCTGGGACTGCAGGTGTCTAGACAGGTTGGTGGGGGCTATGGTTTAAAACAGTTATATTTTTTTAATAACATGTAATTAAATATACATTTTATTAAATTGTATGAACGTTCAATCATATAATATTTTAGTGCGTACCGTCCTGTTAAATCAATACGTACATTTAATAAAAAAAACTCTCATCCAAAGAACGGAAGTCCATGTGGATATAGGTAATGTAAAGAGTAAAAAGAAATGGATGTTCTTTGAACATTTCTGTTACAAAGGATAAAGTACATATTTGAAAAGTTCCATTATATTACAGTGAGTCGCGTTTTTGACTTTGCAAGCCCGATTGCCTACCGTGAAACGAAGAACAGTAACTTACATTGTTCTAACTGTACTAACGTAATCACAACACGTGAGGACGTTGAACATTGAACAACGTGTTCAATCTCTTCTTTGATAGGTGCCAAGTGTGGACGTTGTTTTACTAAAGCCTAACAGGTATCGCAAATAATCATCCGGGCAAACGTACTAATCGATCCTGCGGTTTAATCATGACAGCATCCATGCCTCAATGGCTATTGATGACCGTGAGGGTGATACGAAATCAATAACGCCCTATGGTAATCCATAAAATAGTACTTGCGGTGAACAATCTCAAACACGTGAGTCTGCGTGCTCTCTCTCTCTCTCTCCCTGTTCCCCCTTCCTATTCAGTCTCACCTGTCTGTCTTGCTTTGACACCGTTCGTGTTGGATCAGACATGTTGTGTAACTAATAAACACTACTCGATACCGTCCCCCGAGATTTGAATTAATCTAATTAATCCCTAATAGGATTCGATGATTCACGATCAATACTGTCGACAATATTCGCTTGTATATCAATTCCTAATTATTCCACATCTGTTTAATATAATATAATATAAAATAATATAAATTATATAATTTACTAACAACGTCTTAAGCATCTCAAGTGAAGTCTACAATTTTTATTCTTTAGAAAATTAGGATGAATTTCGTCAAGCATTGGATATGAATGAACTTTCTTGATGCAATGGAAAAATATTTTATTTCTGATAGTATAAGAAAGTCAGATGATACTTCGTATAAGGAAAATGTACATCTGAATGAATTTTAGGAATCCAGGTTCGCCTTTTAATGGAACGCAGATCAAGAATGCGTCCTCGCATTCAACGCGTGGGTTTTTAGTTGTAATCCGCTCTGCGGTACAAAATCAGAGAGAGAAATAGAATAGAGATTAAGATAGAGTAGATGCAGCAGAGCAGCGACAGAGTCTAGAGGTTTAATTACATTTTAACTCGATTTTAACTGGTTTAGGTGCGTGTATTACATGGTACGATGGATTATTTCTAAAATTCGTTTAGACCGATTCACTGTTTCCATTTAACAATTTCGAATGGAATTACTCTTAGCTTTAATTATTAGTAAGTTATTTAAAATTGTCATTTAGTCTGGTAACAACAATCTTAATATTGGCAGTTCGATGAAAAATTAACGAAGACGTACAGAAATGAAATGTTTTTGACAGAAGGTTATGCAACTTCAGCTCACATGGAATTGAAGGCAATAAATTACTATGCCGAGGGGAACTTATTCGACGATAATTATAGCCCGACACGCAGTTATTCGCGCCTTTCAGTTACACATTATTTCGCACGGCACCCGGCTGTCTGCTGCATTATGCATATTCCACGCGAAACCATCCTCCAGAACTCTCACGGTGCATTAAGCCACCGGCGGACGTGTTTTGCCACACAAAATCTACTAGCGCGTATGCACGGCCGTGTATGCGTGCACGAGAGCAAGTCGACTTCCTGAAATTCGCATTGTTAGCGATAATTCGAAGTTATCAGTCGACCAACTATAAAATTACCGACTATAGAGCCAAGCGGAGGGAACGCAGTGAATAAGAAACGATCATGCAACTCGTGGTTGTTTTTTTTGTTTGAGGGAGGGAAGGGGGTGAAAAAAAGTTGCGCGATAAGGGAAGAAGTTTGCGCGCCGGAGCCACAATTTTAATTCGTATCTGCGGATAAAAAGCGATTCGGGCTGGACGGTAATGCCCGCGTAAAAAGCGTATCTGTACCTAATCATTGTGGATGCGCGTGTTTGTGAATTTTTATTAGCCTCTAACGCGTCGACCGCGGAGCTGAATTATGTTACAGTTATCTCGGGATGATTATGTAAAATACGCTAATGAGACAGTACTTTATAACGATTGCGTATTACAAATTTTCTAGATAAATACCTAGGCGTGCGTGCAAAGTATGAAAGAGTAAATAAAAAATATATAAACCATTGGAAAAGCATTGAATATTTATCATTAATTAATTAAATCATTTTAGTCACAGAACTGAGATGTTTGATTATCTATGTACAACAGTTCTTCCTTTTATTCTCCAAATTCTGTTTAGTCAATATTCAAATTGACTTACTTAAACAAAACAAGTAAAAGTACACAGACCGTATACATTAATTAATGGTCAGAATTAATTATAATTTAATCTGTGCGATTTCACACAGCGACGAGGAACAGCGGCCGGAGTTGATCCACCTTGGATTTCGTGTCGACGTGCGTTAATCCTCACCTGGTCGTAATTACCGTGCAAAAAGTTTTCGCTGCGGAGAAACGATTTTAATTGTTGGCCTTATACCGGCACCAACGCGCCGTGCCGAGAAAGTATAGCCGCGAGATTAATTATGAAACGATACCTCTAACCAGCCTCGTGGTCGGACGCGGCTTCCTGTGTACGAAAGCGCTATGACGTGTAACGTAGCGGAGTAACAATTTGTTTTATTAATTATCCGTGCATTCTCGTATCGCACTATAGAAAAAGTCCAGCGAATTTTCGCTGCCTCTTGAAGCTTACAGAGTAACTTAATATCTTTTTTTCTCATTTTTAATGACAGGACTAGTCGGCACGCGGAACTCGATAGTTCTTATTATTAATATCAAAATTCACATCATATAGAAAAGGTCTTCCGGTTACTAACGAGCTGTTCTAATATTCTTAAGCAAAATATAAAAAGAACGATGAGAATGTTGAATAAATTTTAACTGGAGTATGAGCTCCGCTTTAGATTCCAAAATCTTGACTACCCAGTTAACAGAAGAAGAATGGATAAGAGAAGGTCGAGTGCCATACGTGAAATAGAAACGTAAACTAATCTGCCTGTTGTCAGACAGTGAAGACGTTTTTGAAAAGAATTGTTTGGAGTACACTTTAAGACATGCATCCCGCTGTGAATAATTGAAAGGAAGATCGTGGACACACTTGTGTCACGTTACCCTATGATCAAAGTTATTCTACCATCCATAAATGTCCTATTTTTTATTGTGACTTGAAGAAAATAATAGAAATTCTCAAAATCGTTCTAAATAAAATTTTTTTAAAATATAAAAATTGTTTAAACCATAAGAGGAAATTATAGTAGTTTCTTATATCATATCATAAATTTATCATTGGACGAGACTGCAGCTGTGGCTACGTTTGTATCGAGATGGATTTGAAGTGAATCAGTGGGGTTGGCTTACCTGGTAACTCTTCTGTTCATCTTGCAGGTGTCCTGGATGCGTAAGAGGGACATGCATATCCTGAGCGCGGGCATCCTTATGTACACATCCGATCTGAGGTTCCAAGTGATCCATCCGGACAAGTCCGAGAACTGGACGCTGCAGATCAAGTCGCCCCAGATACGGGACTCCGGGGTTTACGAATGCCAGGTCAGCACTGAGCCGAAGATGTCGTTGAACTACAGCCTCAACGTGGACGGTGAGTGCACTCTGAATAATTCATTAGGCTTTCCGTGTAAGTCACTAGGCTTGCCGTCACTTTTCATTTTTCAAACCGATACGAAGCGGGCTGTACATGATTTTATCCAGCGCGCTCTTGCTACACGTTTAATCACAGATTATCCCGAGCTTGCGACTTCAATTTTTAACTCGGTCGATCGTCCGGAGTTTTAGTAGCTCGGTTGCTGGTAGAAACCCTTTTAGTAAACGTATTGAAAATTTTAAAAATCCAACATGTGTAATCCAGGTACACGAACGATTTCGTGCTCTCATATACCTATTAATACTTTTACAAATTCAGGACAATTCTGACGATAATAGGAATTCAAAATTTCTATCCTTTTTCTATAAAATCTGTAAGCTTTATTATTTATGTATACAAATCATCTGAGAATTGTTCTCCTGAATCTGGTTGTACTCGACGAAGTACATGGCAGACCGTTTAAATATTTTTACCTTTAATTCAGATAAACCGAGTACCAGCTTCTTTCCCTGACGCGTTCAGAAGCTTGCCCGCGAAACATTAAGGGCGGGCGCGATAACGATAGCACGTAGTTTCCCGTTTCGGTTCCCTTCCTGTTCTCAATGTCTCGCGGCGGCGAAATAAAACGCTGGAGCCGACGGAATAAGTTATCCCTGTTATCGGAAGACCGAAGTTAAGGCGCGCTATAAACAAGCTAACTCGGTCCGGGGTGTATCCCGGAAGGCTTTCATATTGGCATAACTGCTTCACTCTGCAGCTTAATCTTTGCAGTTCGATAACTCCGCAACTCTTGCAACCCGATTCTCATAAACTTTTCGATACCCCCTTAAACCCCCTCCCCCTTTCTTGGTTCAAGCGGCCTGATTCGCGCTAGTTTTCTGCGAAATTGGTAGCGGCACTTGTGCAACAAATTATGTCCATCCTACCGGTCGACGACTTCCCGGTAATCCCGTCCTACTCCTTGCAATCAACGCTGCTGTTTAAGTATAAATAAGAGAAACACTACGGGCTGCTCCGGGTAGTTTCAATTCGACTAAAACTACGCAAACGTATTTTGTCAGGTCATTTCTCGCAATCAGTTCGTAGACTGAAAGTTGTTGGCCTGGATAGCGAAATGAGTCTCGAGAATCGGTTTAAAATTAATGGAATGAAGGAAATTTTCTTAAAATGAGTCGCAATAGATAAAAGAGCGCATAAGATAAAATGAGTCGCAAATGCATCAATACTTTATAAAAACTGAGAAAATAAGTGAGAAAGTTATTCTATCTTGAAAATGATTCCCGTTTTGAGTTTAGGATTTTTGTTGTCGACCTTTTAGCATTTTTGGCACTGGTAATAACTGGATAACATTTTATCGCTATCGCGACGTAGGAATAGAGAGTAAGGAGCCGGAACGGATTTATCCGGGATGGTTGAACAACAGGACAGATGCAGAATCGCGTAGACAAGCGTCGACGTTAAAATCTTGGTAAGATAGCGGACGGCGGGAAGTCGCGAGGGGACAGGACGTGACGAAGAAAAAGGAAAGAGGGTGGGAAGTGCCGAGGCGCGGTCCAAGGGGTTGTACTCTAGTGGAAACGAGCCCGGGCGCTGTGGGACGACCCGATAAGCAGCTCGATGCGAACTGCCTCACTTAGAAACGCGTATATACACTCCCATTCATAAGTTACCAGGCGGCACCGAGGAGATACTACTAAAGAGTGCCCGTGTAATCGTTGGGACAATGAATGGGGCCCAATGGCGCTCAAAACACAGTCGGCAATTGTTCTTTTCGGTTGTCATCGGCACCGAGGAAGTCGGTAAATGGCTATAATGGCGTACCGACAAGTTTGGCTTAATAGGCAATACATAATATACATACGGACGGTTAACAAAGAGCACAATAGAATTAGATGTGAAAACAGTATTCCGAAGTCAAATTGAATTCTCAGTATAAATAATTTTCTACGTATTGATTTTATTAAGAGAAACTTTGGATTTATTCAGTCAATTCTGATTTGTTAAAATATAGGAATTCATTGAGCATTCATGCGAAGTTTCTCTTAATAAAATCAATGCATAAAAATTTATTGATTTATTCAATCAATTCTAATTTGTCAAAATATAGGAATAATTTAATTATAGGATTTATTAAAAAAATTCTAATTTATCACAATATAATAAATAAAAACAGCATATCACATCAGCAAAATGATATTAAAAATGTTAATTCAGTTAGGGTAGTTACACGAAAAGAATTATATTTGAGTAGGGATTTATAATCTTGTATAAATTTATAAGAGGTCCACCAACGATTCTGTCCCGGAGGCCTGTCCGATAACTTGTGGACAGGAGTGTAGGTATACCAGGGAACATCTAATACTCGAGGCAACCGTGTCGTTCTTCTCGAATGTTGGGAAAAAGTCGGCGTGAAATAAATCACCCGGTTTTTCCATCCACGGTACACCCTCGAAGTCGTAAAGCATGGACTCGATGGTGAAATCAATTTTACAAATCCGTCGGGCAAAAAGCTCGGACTTGAAACTTCACGCGTGCGGAACGTAGACTAGAGATTTGTCGCTGATGGGGTTGAAAGGTCCGTTGGCTCTGAATAGAAGTGTTTAAAAGATGAGGGAAGTGTCATACAACTGATGAAACGAACGTATATCTGAACAATAATCTAAAAGGAAACAGTAAATCTGATCCTACGGTGTATTTAAGAAACGAAAGAGGCATTACTTTATGCTATAATAATACATTTATTTCTATATAATAGTTTACATTTCTTATCATGTCTATTACTGATTTACTACACAGCTTAATATTAATTTTGATCAGTTGACAACTTAAGATTACTTCGGACAAAATTTCAGTTTCGATTCCATCCTGAAACACACGTCTCGTTATCTACGTATAAAGGTAATAAATTTGAATTTCAACTAACCCAGAGAATGGGAAGTGGCAAATGTAAACGAAGGCCGGCAATGTTTTCTTCAGCAGTTTCTTAAAAAAATGGCCGGCTGCCACCGGAATCTTGAACCGTATAGCCCGTTCATCGCATGTACAAGCACGTCTCGCAATATCCACGTTCTTTCGCTCCTCTCTGGTTGAAACTAGAATCCCCAGCAATTAATTTACGCCCGTGTAATCTCTCGGGGAAGACTTTAAAAAACGAGAGCGGGGCCGCCCTTCGCACGGATCTTCGGGGAAATATTCTTCTTCGTCGCGGTTATTCTACGCAGCGGTTATACCCGTGGCCCTGAACGAATGTAAACGAGTTAACCTCTAACAAATTTTTTAAACCATTCTTTTCTCGGAGCGTCTTTATAAATTATTCGCCAGCACCGGGATAAATCAGCGTGGTATCGATCGTCAGGTCGTAATTTCAACGATACGTACCATTTCTTGTATCAGCGGTATCTTAAAGGGAAGCTGCTGGCCTACAAATCGCATTCTAGGTCAAATCGATAATAACGCCGGCGGATATCGAGCGTCGGAGAGGTTCAACTGGATTGATGGCATTTCGGTAATTAATAACGTGAGAAGAATAAGACGATAGAAATTTCTCATTGTTGCGAGGCCTAAAATTGTGTCGAAGGGAAACCGGAATTATCCTTGAATGGCGAGGAACCGAAGTGCGCAGCAGATAGAAAAGAATCGAGTTTGTAACGAAACATTGACAAAAGAAAGTGAACCGAGTGCCTGCGTCTTGTACGTATTTTTTGCAAACAACGAGCGAGGCTTTTGTCATGCAAATTTTAAGTCACTATAATTTTTCAAAAAATCCATGAAGTGATTTAAAATTTTGCAGGTAGCTTTTTAATAGTAATAGAAATTTATAATAACAAATTCAACATGCTAGCGTTGTTTAAATATATATCCTATACATCCTTACATTTTACAAGTATTTCATACTTTTCAGTCCGTTTTAAAAACGTAGTGTATTAAAAATTATTTTTTATTTAAATAATCATTTTATTGAATTAATGCAATGCATGTATTCTTCGGTTTTTAATTCACGAACGTTCATTGCGCCATCGGACGGAATAATTTTTCTTAAATTACACTTATTTGACCTCTTCGTACGATCGATAATCTTTAATTTATAACTTTTCGCCGGGCGCTCGCAATTATCGGCATTGTCGGCGATATTAGTCTGCTAATTTTGCAGCGGGCGTTGCAGCGGTGTTAACGGGCTTAACGGCTAATGTATACGCTTCCTGTGCACGATACCACTCTGAGCGACTATCGTCGCTGTGGAGGCACACCGGGATAGGCAACCGGGAACGGGTGCGTGTGCATAATATCCGAAGGATGCTCTCAGGAACGACACCCAGTCTTGTTTTGGTTTTGTCCGGCTCGCGCTGACACCGTTATTGTTTGCCAAATCCGCGCCGGTTAATTAGCATTTTCATCGGGTTGTCAGGCCTCGCCATGCTGCCGATGACGCAGCGCGCGCCGCGGCTCGAGACACGCCAAGTTTAATGGCTCGACGGTGTTATCGCCCTCGGTTTTGACCCCATGCGAAATATTATTAGCTTGTTCTATTTTTTTCATCAGATGTCTCGTAATATTTATCTTATAATAATAAAAGAATTTTACCCTTGCCGTACCATTTAGCTCGAAAAAATTCGGACCATATGCATTCGTTTCCCGCCGCTTTTTATGCTCGTTGGACATGAAATTATAGCCTCGAATCTGACTTGTGATATCCACGTTTGGCATGAAATTTTAATCACGAGTCAGACTCGTTAAAATACGGCCAAGGGTCATCCAAGGGTTGTGCATCTTCGATATTTTTTATTTTAGAGTTGGAAAAACGTAGTTTCTTTTTATTATGATAATGAGTAGGACACGACTACTTATGGGTTTATGTGACCGCATTAATCAAACCGCGGCAGTGGGTCCACTGGTAATGAGGTGGTAGTTGGCGAGGTATAGAATTTCGATCGTATAAATACCGGTAATTTATTTACGAAGCGGCGCGTCGAATGGGCCAGGCATTACAGCATGATTCC